GTTTTATTAAGTAAAGACTTGTGTCGTTAAAGTTTCGTTGAAACGAAGTTACGGAAAATTAATTAACACACGGAGACGTAACAATATTATACATTTCCGTAAACTAAGTTGGTTCTTCAAACTCGGATGCACAATTTGCACAAGGATTTTTAAAGAGTATGATAATTGGAATTGGGAGTAGTTAACAAACAAAAGTACTTAACAAAAATAAAAGTCATGTCATTGACCATTAAAGAAATCGTGTACATTCCAACTCGATTAACAAACTGATTTTGTTTGTTAATTTTTCACAACTGTTTTTTTTTCTAATCTAGGGTATGAACTGAAGAAAAGAGTATTACGTATTATACTTAAAACGAGGCAGAAATTATTTCAGGCTAGTAGATGGCGCATGGTTTTGTCTTACTTGTGGTATAAATTGAGATAAATAAAGACTCGTTTTGTTGAGGAACTTGTCTTTCTGGTGATAAAAATCGTGAAAAACTTGAGGGTAAATTAATATAATTATAAGTAATATGGTAGTTTTAATATGTTATGTGTAATAATACGTTATAGCTAATGCTTTGTAAATGATTGCTTATAAGTGATAGTTATAAGTTAGACTGCTATAGGCATATATAAATATTACTATTAGAAGCATAGGTATTATATGAAGCAATATAGCAACAGAGAGATTTCTCAAAGTAATAGTGTATTTGCACATGTGTCATGATTAACCTAATGATCTGGATTAGCATTCGAGATAAATTCATGGCAAAATTGATGAAAGCTACAGAGAAATTGCACAAATTTACTTTTAAACATCAAGATATCCATGATAACCAAGAAAGGGTGAGATGTAAGGGGAAGTTAAAGCTGATAAGCATACAATGTAATTTAGAGCTCAACAGTTTATGTCCAAAGATTTAAAGCAACAATTAAAGTACTATCATAACCTTTTTTTACTTTTAGTATTTGTTATGGCATATTGTACATGAAATGCAGGAACTTTTATATCAAAGTTTTAGATATAATTTTTTTTTTGCTCAGTTGAAATCCACAACAGATTTACACATGCACAACAAACACCAACTTTGTCAATCATTGTTAAGTTTTCATTTTTTCTGCAGGTATATTTTTAGAGCACTTTTCCAATTATTTACTCCATATGAATTCACACATGTGCAATTTTTGTTATCTTTTTTAAGTCGTTTGGTGCCGGCTGGCCTTTTTCTTTGTGAAAAGGCAGGCATTTTTACCTCTGCCACCATAAAACCCACACTAGCTTGAATATTGAACCCCCTGTCAGCAAGGATTAAGTCACCAAGGCTTCAAATTAGATGATATGTCAATGAACATCTCAAAACAATATTATCACAGTACATTTAGTCCCAAAATATTTTCTGAACTGCATAGGCATGGTTTACAAGAGTTCTTCTTTTGAAGGCCATACAACAAAGGACTTCATTCATACATCAAAAACAGCCTTAGATAATGTTGTACCATAAACCTGGAATTCATATGACAAGAAGGTGGCACTAACATTTAATCTTAACTTCATAAGTGTAAGTATTAACATTTGAAACTTACTCATAGACTTTTTACTGTTAATGGTTGTAAGTAAGTAAAGAGTAAACAAGATTTGGCAAGTCAGTGTAGTAAAGTACTTTTTACATGTTTACCATCAAAGTCTGTAACATTTTACTTTGGAGTTGTATTTTTCACTTGAGAACTCAATTCAACATTTTCAATCCTTAATTTTTGCATCTCGTTTGTCATGGATGTCATTAGTTTCCCAGTCAAATCTGTCTAGATTTCAGTTCCAGTTTCCATCTATTCTTCAAATGTTTCCTGTTGTATTTGTTGTAATAATAACAATGACTGGGCTACTTCTGTCTTGTTATTTTAGTCATCTTTGCACACGGTTAAACTGTGAAAGACCTGGTGACGTTAGAATTTTCTTTCTAGTTTTTGCAACTGTGGATATCATATTGAAAGAAGGGACCAAATCTGTGTTGTCTTTCTGGCAGAGGACTGCCCTCTGTCCTGAAAAATAAATAAATAAATGCATAAGATCCAGGCAATTGTATGTCTATGAAGATACAATGTAGCAGTCATTTTCTAACTGGTGTACTTTACTTTTTGCTTGAATTTATTTAATATTTTGCTTTACAGGTGTGTGTGTGTTATGTATATAAAATTTAAGATCAAGATCATAGGAAGATGTTTGAGTTGGAGGGTTTAACAATGTTTGGAGAAAATAAGAGCTTAATTTCAATATTTTTCCCAAGCCAAGCAAGGCTAAAATATTCAAATTTTGTTTATGAAAAAATGGTTGCATCAGACAGATGAGAATTTTATAAAAAAATAAAACATTTCATGTTATTATATAAAATAATATATGGATACTGCTTGCTGATAATCACTGTACCTCAGTGCATAATCCCTCTGATAATAAAAAAAAATTCTCATGTGAGAGAAAATGAGCTGAGCACACCCAAATGTTTTCAAGATTTTTTTCCCATCAAAGTTTTTCTGCAAGCTAGCTAACCACAGTTGCATTTGGTCCTCAGTGAGTTTTTTGCACCTTGATTAGTAATCATCTTAGGAAGGCAATAAAATTGTTACTCTGTCTGATCAATTGACACCCTATCACTTGACAATAGTTTATCATTGTTACTAGTATTTAAATGCCAAAGGCTACACCTGTAAGCTCAGGAACCATAAACAAACAGAATTGATATTTCCAATATGGCCAACTATTGTTTTGGGGACATCACATGAAAACAGTCCATTCAGGGTGGTTCTTTAACCATACCAAATGATCACAGAGCCAACCAGTGGGGACACAAATTTAGATTTATTGTTAATCATTAATGAGGATGATTACAAGAGTTGAAGTAGAGAAAGAATTGGAAGAGAGTAGTACTTGCATAATTTGGTTTGATGCTTTGCTATGTGAGATAAAAATAAATGAAATTTTAGTTCCTAATTTTCAGAAAAGCAATTTTAAAGCCATTTTACAAGATTTACTATTAGTGAATTGGGACAGTAAGTTAAAAGGTGATATGGGACAGATGTAGGAGATCTTAACAAATAGGTTTTAATTCAAAATAGGCATGTTTCTTAAAAAAGAGGAAAAGAATAATGGAGAAGTTCAAACATAGCTGGCTAAAGACGTGAGTGCTGTAAACTTAAGTTTAAATTGGTAGATAAAATGGAAGATCTAGAGAACTAGTTAGAAAAGATGATGGGGAATCTAAAAAAGTAAATAAGGAACAGGTGGCTGATAAAGGTGAAAACTGAGATCCAAAAATTTAATTATGTTAAAAGGTAAGCAAAATATTAGAATATGAATTGGGCCTCTACAGAATACTGATGGCAAAGTTATTGTTGAATACTGAGGTGGCTTAGCTTTTAAATGTTCTTTTTACTTTTGTTTTTTGTCAGTGTAGGTATAATATTCCTGACTTTCAACATTTTATGAAAAGCATTGTAATTTATCTGAATCATGTAGATGTTAATCCAATAATGGTAAGTTATGATTGAGAGATTAAAAGTGTTGTAAAGAGGTCAGAGATGTTAATAAGGTGCCACGCACACACAAATCACAACAGTTGCATTAGGGGAAAGACTAGTTAACTGGGACTGTAATGTTGTTGGATTGGAAAAAGCAAAAGATTATTAATGGAATCCAGTCAAACTGAGCTCTTGTTACTAACGTAGTGCCTCTGAAGTTGATGCTTTGGCCTCTTTGGTTTCTAAAATTTATTTTACACTAATAAATTAAATTTTGAGGTATTTCTAATTGTATTAAAGATGTTGAGATATCAGAATGTCTTGGATTAACTAGTAATTTGGACAAATATTTGGCAAATAACTTTTAATTATAGAAAGTGCAACATAATGCATTTGGGTTATAATTTAGTATAGGTAGGAGTCCACAAAATAATATATGTAGGTGGATAATTCATTTAAGCCATCAAAGCAGTGTTCTGTTTATAGTAATAAAGCTAATAGAATTTTATTGTGTACTTATAAACATATTGATTACAAGCCAAAAGAAGAAATTATCTCTGTACAAATTGCTAGTTAGGCCTCATTTAGAGTACTTTGTACAATTTGGACTCCTTGTGTAAGAAAGGATATTGACTTGCTGGAAATTGTTTGTTTAGAGGAGAGATACCAGAATGATTGTGAAACTGGATTGATTATTTTATAGGTTTAATTAATATTGTATTTTCTTTCTCTTCAGAAAATGAGTGTAAGAAATGATCTTATTGAAGTTTACAAGATTATCCATGTGACTGATAGGAACAATGTCTTTGATTTTGTGTGTGTGTGCTATATTTTGAAGACAAAGATGAAAGGGTCCAAGTTCAAAATTTGGAAGAAAGGACAGGCTTCATTTGAGATAGGGAAGGCCAATACTTCACTGTATTGTTCCCTGAAAAATTATGGTTGGGTTTTAATTTTTTTGTTTCTCAAGGGTTGCTGTGCAAGAGAAGCCTTGAAGGGCCATTTATCTGAATCATGTTTTAACATTTCATTCCCTATGGATGTGGCGAATTGGTCCATCCAGGCTATCCTATTTTCTACCACTACCTTAATCCAAACTACATAAAGAAACTTTGTTATATCTAACCATGATCTCCAAGATTGATTCCCAAAGCAAAGAGATATTAAGTTTTATTGTCTGTCTGTACATTTTTAAGATTTCTCTATGAACACTAATGCCATTTTGTATCACAATGTGCATCTTTGTTATTAATGCAAGCATATTAAATTTTTAGTCTATCACTAATTATTTAAAATGTACAAGAAAATTTGACTTCACTGAAAAATATCCATAGAAAAGTATGCTCCTATATTACCCTACAGAAGCACAGCTATACTACACATTCATGCTTTTGGCATCATATTACATGTAAACATAAATCTCACTGTTGGTAATTTAACAACCATAGAATCTGTCTCGCATGCCACTGTTACATGCGAGTTAGTTGAATCACTGATAAGGTTATAAAAAAACTTGTAGTTATACTTTAATAAATAATTTCAGTTTTGTTTATTATTACAGTTATTGAATTGGTCATTCTCAGTTTGATTGGTACAGTGACAAGATTTTAATGTTAATGATTAAGAGCTGGGTTCATTCATCAGTTACACTCAACTAATCTATTTTCACATAAGACTTGGCTAGTTGGAATAATTGAAAATGGTAATAGTTGGAAACACCAGTTTCAATTAATTTATTGTTTTTGTGAATTGAACCACTATTGGATTAAGCTGAACAACCTTGAATTAATTTAATATAATAATGGTAATTTTTCAATTACTTAGTTGGAATAATCAGAAATTATACTTTTAATCAATTTAACCATAATTTTGATTAATCCTTTATTTTACGTGATACTTAATAATATAACTGAAACTCATAGGTAATAATTATGTTGATTAATTAAGTCAGTCACCCAACTGTAATAAGGATTATAGACTTGTATGGTGCTGTTTTCTAATAATTTAACTAAAGTCCTAGTTGTCTTCCTTTCCTTGTCTTAACACTGGTATTTTACTAGGCCTACTTACTTAAATGAAAATTGTAACAACTGAAGTTTTAACATTTCATTCCCTGGGGATAATGTGGCTATTTGGTCCATCTAGGCTATCCTATTTTCTACCACTACTTTAATCCAAACTACATAAAGAAACTTTGTTATATCTAACTTTAATCTCCAAGATACTCACCCAATCTCCTCTTAAACTCTTACAATGTTGCAGCTTCTTTCTATCCTCAAGTTAAACTATTCAAGAGGTTGACTACAACTCAAAACTTTTGCTTGAATAAGGTGCCCAAAACTGAACATACTATAAATGCATACCTTTTTTTCATAAACACAAATCATTTGAAATTTGCTGTTGGACAATTTTGTTGACTGAGAATGTATGACATGCCTTTTTTTGCTGATTGTGTAAGGTAATAATATTTTAATATTTATTATACCCTTTATTGGAGACTGTGTATTTCATCATTTATTACTATTATACTGAGATTTAACAAATACAAATAATTAATTTTAAATAAGTTAACTTTTCTATAAATCTATCATTTCAATAAACATGTGGTTATTAAAATTTTTATTGTACTTAAAAACTTCAAACTAAAAATGTCAGAATTTAAAAGTGAATTTGGTATATCATTCTGTCTGCCTTGTTCATTAAGATCCTTAGGATGCAGTATGTTTCAAAATATAGAATATTATTGTGGATTAAGTCATCCTTCTTACAAAAGAGAAATTGTTAATATGTTGAATGATGTAATACACATTTTCTATTGTTATCTGGTATTAAATGTATTGAATAAGATTTATTTATTTTTATACAATTGATGACAAAAATGAGAATCAAATTAAATTCAAGTGTTTTTTCTACAAGTTTTCTAACTGATTAAAAAGAAAATGAAAAAGTAGCCGGAAATAACATTTTGTTTTTTAGAAATGTCAGAATCTACGTCTCAAAGCCAAGATAGAAAGAACAGTAGTTCTTTAGAAGGAGCTAGTTTTCCACCAAAAGGTTCAGAGTGTCAGGCCATCTGCTATTATCAGGATTATGCCAATCAGTTGGAGAAGTCTTGTATCAGTACTTCTAGTGGATCTTGCCAAGAATCTCAAGCATTGTCATATGGAATGCAGCTGTCCTTACAGGTTAATGTTATGTATTTGTTAAATGTAATTTTCTGTAAGGTCAATTTCCATTGGAAAAAGTATTTCTATATTGATTCTCGCATGACAGTCGTAGGTAGTATTAATATTGTTATTAATCTCAGTGCTAACTGTTTTAAATAGACTACATTTTAGAGCTGTAACGATTGGTAGATTTCGACCTTCAATGGTTCAAAATAAACTACTGAATGAAAGTTTGTACATTTGATAGTACTACATTGCATAACTTACTAATGACATCACCATAACTACTTGTTTATATTTGATTGAAAACTTTTATCTTACATCTAATCCATATGAATAAAATAAAACATTTGCATGGAGTTTAAAAATACACTATATATATACACATCAGTAACCATGTTTTTAAATTTTAAATGGAAATACAAAATGCACATTGTTTATGTACACAATACTTGTATGGCTATATACAATAAGCTTGCATTGAAAGAGCACCCTAATACAGCCAATTAAAAGAGAAGCACTTGTCCCCTCTCCCAAATGAAAAACTTAATTCCTTGTTTATTCATTCAACATATATATATGAATGTACAAGTTTTTATTGACTTCACAATTTTACACTACTCGTTATGCTTAATTTTCAATTCTAATAAAAGTTGCCAGGTTGTTCAGCAGCTTTACTTAAAATCTCTAGATACTTACCCTGTACCTAAATATTGAAAAATATCATTACCACAGCAGCTTCTTCGACATGGCAATTCTTACTCGAGTCATTGGTCTTGCCAACACTCCCTGAGCCCTGACACAGTGTGATCAGGGTCAGCAAGTTATCAAAGAGACTGTTGCAGACATCCCATAAGACGGCATGGTCAGAGTCAACCAAAATTTATTATTATGGAGTATATATAGCTGCAAGTTTGCAGTATGGCTTAAACTAATCTTACAAATATTAAACCCATCAAATCTGGCTGTGGGAGCTTGCCTATTCTCTTGACTGTAATGGCAAAACTTTGAAGGGTGTCCTTGATTTTGACTTTGCCTCTCACCCAGGAAAATGTCTGTGGATACCCATGGTACCTTTGTTACTTGTTATATCACATTAAAATTATACATCTCTGTCTATCCATAATTAATAGTAAATAAACTGTTTGCATGAAATTAACTTTCTTTAAAAAAAAACACTGCACATGTATAACCTACATTGTCTAATGGGGAAATCATAAGATAACTTATTGATAGTTTCTTAACTGCGGACTTTTCTTGAACCATAGTAATCACATGATTAAAATGTTTAAAAAGGTGTCATTTTTATTGGTTAACATTTACAAACATTAACTTTTGTCAAAAGATAATCCAATAATAATGGATTCAGTTGTTATGAATGAATAACAGGATGTTGCGATTATCGTTCTGTGGCTTGTTGTAATAGGACCAGTTTCCCGAAGAAATGTGCTTGGATTCATGCTACAGGTCTTTCAGTTACCTGTAAAAAAAAAAAAAAAAAGTTTGTGACAAAAAAATACTAAAGTGTGTTAACATCACTTTGTGACAGGGAGGAAAATTGGAGATCCTGCTCACTGACTAATTTACTATCAGTGAACCTATCTATTGTGACTTTTCAGAGACTGTTAAATCTCGTAAAGCTGGTAAACTTGTTTATCCCATAAACATTCACGATGTTCAAAGTGGCACAGACTCTGTCAGATTACATTGTGATAGATTTGGTATGTAACACCTCTTTATTTTGTTGAAATAATTATATTAATGATACTAAATGTAATTAATACTGAGTAGAAAGGTAAGTACAAACAAACAGATATTGCACATAGAAAAGAAAGTCAAATCTACATATAGCTAATTAGGATAGACATTTGTTCAGTTACTGTACTTATTGCTTATAGTTTATCTCCTTTCTCGATTGTAGCAAACAGCTAGATCAAGTTCACAGGTTCCTTTTGTGAGATCACCTCGATCAGAGTTTCTTCTAGAATCTGAGTGTTCAGAGTCGAATCCAATATCAGGAATATCATTGCCTTACGGTAAGGTTTGGTTGTGTGTATTTGTTTCTTTTAACTAGTGTTAACCCTCTTGCTATGGGTAAATCAAAACGCACATGTCACAACCTTTTACAGAGTTACATTCAAAATATATATATATATATATATATATATACGTGAAAACATAGTTAGTAAATCAAATTTTAATATTATAGTTATGTAAATTTTAAGTTCTTCATTTTATAGGGAAATGTTTAAAAAATTCCTCGATTTCCAAAAACTAGAGAAGCTACTATCCATTGATGTATATTTTTGTATGAAATATTCAAACATTAATACATTTTTTATTTTTCTCTATTTTCTCAGTACAGAAACATGTTTCTGGAAGTGAGCATTTCCTCTAAATATATGAGTAAGAAGAAAGACATTTTTTGTGATTTTTGATATGTATGTTATTTCAGAATTAAATGTTATGAAGTATGCCCAGAGTAGAGCCAAGGAAATAGCAAGTCTTCTTGCTGAAGTGGAGAAGAAGTCGCCAAAACTTCCCATGCAACAACTTCCTCGACACATGCGCCGTAGAGCTGCAAGTCATAATGTTAAGAGACTACCTCGAAGATTACGAGATAGAGCAGCAAAAGAGGTAGAAATATTGGTAGTTAAAAATAGAAAATCCTCAGTTATATTTTAAGTATAAAAAAAATTAATGTCTAATTAAAGAAAATTGTATTGTTCAAGTGCAACTGAAGTTTTAAGTGAAAATTTGCACATTAAACACTTGTTTTTCAAGATTTTAAAGTTATGGTAAAAAATAATATACATTTATATTTATCAATTGGCTTAGATATTTATACAATGCTTTAAATTAGTTTATTTTACTTTAAATATAGATGTCTTAGCCATTAATACTTCTAGAATGACTACTGTACTTAAGGGTTTGGTGGTTAGGGCTCTCAACTTGCAACCTGCAGATTGTGGGTTGGAATCCTGACAACATACATTCTTTCCCTTCATGATGTGGTGGCATTATAGTGTGATGGTCAATCACACTTTTCTTTGGTAAAAGACTAGCCCTAGAGTTGGCAGTGGGTGGCATTTACTAGTTTCTTTCCCTCTAGTTTATCATTTCTAAATTACGAATGGCTAGTGTAGCTCACCCTTAAGTATCCTCATGCAAAATTCATTGTTCATGTGTCACTAAAATGTTTAATAGATCCTTTTTTATCTAATCTATGTTAATATATTAAGTATGATTTATTATTATTATTACAATACTTGATTTAAACTGGGCATGTTTTGACAATCATTTTATGGAACTTGATGGACCTTGAATTATTTAGAAGCTCAAACTAAATATCAACCCCATTTATAAATAAAAGTATATTTTTGTTTTGAAAGATAATGTGCACATTTTTTGTCATATAATATTATAATTAGATACATGATATAAACTAATCAGCTTTAATAGTGGCAGCCATTTTGATTACATTTTCTGAAAATCATTAATTCATGAGAGTTTTATATGAGGGTTTTATAATTTCATGTGTGGTATTTTGAGATGTCTTTTAATCACAGTCATCCTATATTTATATAGGTGTTTCAATATTAGAACTGGATGATATTTACTTATTGAACAATCTATCACCCCATTATTCAGTTTCAATTGATCAGTTAGTACAGCGTTTCTTAAAACCTGTTACCTAGAAGCATAAAAAAATAAATAAATAAAAAGTGCTACCAATCGGTTGCCTTTCCTTTAGTCAGCATTTCAGAAAAAAACTAAATATTGATAGCAGGTGTTTTGCTTGCTAGTTATCTTCCCTCTAGCCAGTAGTTCAAAATTAACAACAGTGGCAAACAATAGCTTTGCCATAACAAAGATAGAGCAAGTAAGTTTGGTGACAATATTTTAATTACTTGGATAGTTGGAATAATCAAAAGTAGCAATAATTGGAAACCCTAATTTCAATTACTTAATTACTTGCATGACAATTGATGTAGTATATAGTCATAATTTTGATTCATTAATTATTGGAAATATAGAAAACAGTAATAACCAGAAACACTAATATTAATCAAATGAATTAATCATACTTTAGAGTAATTGATTAGTTTACATGGCACTAATAGATTAAATTGCCCATTATCTGTTCAAGGATATGTTTCATTGATGCTACTAATTTCTCCCTTGTTGGAACAGTGGTAATTTACAGACTTTGCTAAAATCCGATGTTCAGTTCTCCACAGTAGGAAGACACAACAGTTAGCCTCATGTGGCATTGTTCTAAAACAAACAAACAAAGCTACTAATTTATTCTTGTGAATTATTCAGTCAGCAAGCTGCTTAAAATAATTAAATGAATTAAAAGCTCGTGTTGATTTTTCTTAGTGTTTTATATAAGGATTTCAAAATTTAGTGCTAGTGAACGTACTGTGTAAGAACTACAATTTCATCCTCAGCGTGATTTAGCACAAACTAACAAGTTTGTAAAAATTGCAATTTAGAATTTTTACAAATGTTTATTTTTCCTTTTGTTTTGTTTATGATAAAAAAAATTCTAGATAAATGGAACCATTTCTAATGCCCATAAAAATTATAATTATTGACAAAATTGTAGAAGAAATTATATCAAAACAAGTAATTAATATATGAAATATTCTTTTAAATGTTAGTGTATTATTAGTGACTTGATTATCTTAAGAAAAGGTTTTATGATGTGACTATTCATGCAATGTATTATAATTTGGTTATTATTATATATCTTTGGTTGCTGTCTGTTGCCTTTGATCCTATTTTTGAGAGCTGTAAGTGATGCCAGAAAGTGTTTTTGTTGTTAATTTTGCACGTGCATGTCATAACATTTAAATAAAACAGCTCCAAAAGATTTTTTTGACATTAACCCCTTCAGTGTGGCAGCAATGTTTATTTCCTCGTGGAACTTTATTATTGATAATTTTGTTATAATGTACCACCTTCTGCTACATAGTTTCAAAGTCACTAAAGGAGGTATTTTTATGATTTCTTGGTTGAATTCATTGTTTTGTGATATGGTACTCGTTCTTTTATAAGTACTCAAAAAATCACTCGTGCAGCATTTTTGGACCTACTGATTTCACTTATGTAACTTATTCCTCTTCACACTTTACAAGCATCCAGTAATCAACACTTATTTGGAATAAATGTGTGTCATTCACTGCTTTGATTCTTTTGGGATGATAGGAAAGAAAAACTCTCATAAGTGAAATCATGGTTTCTTAAGTTTATCATAGTTAAACAGTGATGTACAGCTGCAGAAGTAAAGCAGTAAATATTTTCCAAAACTTCTGTGAAAACATTGTATTCTGCTGAAGGTATGTGATAGTGACATGACAGTCATGTCACTAATGTAATATACACAACATACAGTCTCAAATAGAGAGAAGTATGTACTATAGATTCTGACACCATGTGGTAAAAGGGTTTAACACATTTCATGCAGTCAGTCTTTTTATTATTTTCTATTTTGAGTTTCAAGGCTTTTGTTTTATTTCTAATTTGATTTTCTTTTAATAATCAGTATCAATGGTGAGTTTATTCACTATAATTGTTGCATCCTATTTTAGCTCTCAAAATTGCATAGAGTAGAGTGCATTTATTCATTCTCAAGACAGTTTATTTCTGTTATTATATCTAGACTTTTTTGCATGATCTTTTTTAGGTCTTTACTGGTAATCTTTCTTAATAATATTATTAAGAATTGAGTGGTAGGGGTAAAATGGTAGATTATTATATAATATTCTACTTACCCAGTAGTAGAACCCTTACATAATAATTTATGGGAAGAATTAATATTTTTTTCCACTTCCCCAATATTGCCCAAAAGGTAAAGGTATTTTTATGATAAGCTGTTATTTATGAAAAATACTAGTTTCACTGTATTAAGATATTTTATTTTTACTTGTGAATATATTTTAGTTTATTTAGAAAATGTTATTTTTAATCTATATTTACTGATTTTTTTTAGATCAATAAAACCAAATCTTCTAAACGTCCCAGTCGACGTTATCGTCGTAGGCCAAGTAATCTTTTAGCTGAATATACTCGTCGACAGCGGCAGCATATTTGGCTTGAAACGCACATTTGGTTTGCCAAACGGTTTAAGATGACAGAGATATGGGGATATAAGCTTCCACTGCATCCCAATGATAAAAGTGTAAGGGCTGCCTACAGAGCATCTGTTCATCACGTTTTGCTTCAGGTAAAGCTATAGTTTTCATTGAGTTTTTCATCACATGGTACGACATAACTCATCATGTCACCATCTGATATTGAAATGAAAACTTAAGAAGTCTACATATATAGTCTTTTTAAATATTTACATTTGTCAGAACTTAAAGTCCATGTATTCATTTTTCTTTTATTTAGGTTAGTAAAAACCAACCTTCAAATCTGCATGTTATTCCTAAAAGTTGGATTGATTACTATTTACTTGCTTATAAAACAGTTTTACTAAAAGTATCAAATTAATCTCCAGGTTTAACATTATATTACTTAAATCATTTTACCTGATGGTTAACCTGAACCATACAAATTAAATTAATCCTATAAAGGATTTAAAAATTGTTTCAGGCTAAATAGTGTGAAAAAAAACATGTACACAATTATTTATTAGGAGCATGATTACCACTTTCTGCAACAGTGCAGTCTTTTACGCATGTCTGCATTGCTAGATAGACTCATAATTCTTGTCAGAGTTGAAATAGTTTATTTTCTCTATATCCAGTGACTTTCTATAGACATTTTATTGTTTAGTCTTTTACGCATGTCTGCATTGCTAGATAGACTCATAATTCTTGTCAGAGTTGAAATAGTTTATTTTCTCTATATCCAATGACTTTCTATAGACATTTTATTGTTTAGTCTTTTACGCATGTCTGCATTGCTGGATAGACTCATAATTCTTGTCAGAGTTGAAATAGTTTATTTTCTCTATATCCAATGACTTTCTATAGACATTTTATTGTTTAGTCTTTTACGCATGTCTGCATTGCTGGATAGACTCATAATTCTTGTCAGAGTTGAAATAGTTTATTTTCTCTATATCCAGTGACTTTCTATAGACATTTTATTGTTTAGTTTTTAATTTCTCTTACGTATGTTCCAGTAGCTTTAGAATTGATAAACTGTTTATGCACAAGTTCTGTAATATGGTAATTAACATGAGAAAAAATTAGTTAGTATGAATAATATTTTAATTAGTAACTGTTATGTTTATCATCATTCTCTACAGGACCTCTCTTATTATGGATGTATTGAACTAGTGGGTATAGAAGAAAAGCTGTTGCAGGGCCTTTCAAAGTTTACCAGTTTGGAAACAGGTACATTGTAAATTGTGGTCTCTGTGATTTGTTTTATTATTATAAATTAAAATTAACAATGAATATCATTGTCATTCTTGAAATTAAAGTATTCTGATAACCTTTTATAAGAAAGATCTTTTTTCATCAGAAGTAAATGGCAAATGAAGAAGTTGATAAATGAGTTGATCATGTGAACTTCAATGACATTATGAGGGAGATGTCATTTCTGTAATTGGCTCACCTTTACAACACGCCACTGCTGTTTCTAGAATTTTTTTATTTGGCAGTTATTTGGGGGGTGAGAAAAAAGGTTTATCACTTTCATGTTAGTGAAAGTCACAATGTAGAGTATTTAAAAACCTTAAAAGGCTATCTAAAATGCGGGTAAAGCTCTCCAATAGGGGGGGGGCTCTCCCCACCACCATCCTAGTGGACACTCCTCTGACAACATAGAAGTACGAGTTTGATGTTGTGACAAAACAGTACAATAACGTTTGAGAATAATACACAGAAGTTTCTTGATAATTAGAAAGAAGAAATGGGGTATTCCAGAAAATGCTTTTCATTTTACATTAATTGCCTGATTAATGCTCAGATTTCTAAATATTGTCTTACAAGTACCATGCAAACATGATAGTGTGGTCATTGAACTTTTCACTTTTATCAACTCTCCACTGTCTGAATGATTGCTGATAAGTAGTTTCTACTATGGTAAGTCATATATTGCCAGATGGCACCAAAAATAATGTGGAAACTTCTTTTACTTTAACTTTTTACGCGTATCACAACTAATATTTCTAGATTTTTAAGGATAAAAATTTTATATTTGAAATATAATTAGTTGGGTTTTAGTTACATTGCGTATCTAAAGTAATCTTAAGTCCAAGCTTGCTAAGTATACAATTTTTCTTCTAATGCAAGCACTGTTTTTGAATAGTTAATGTATTTTGAAATGGGTTTTGATTTGTAATTATTGACATACAATTAGGTTTAACCTTCGCTGCCAAGTTTTACCTAAAGGGAACTCGAGAAGGATCTGTGATGCTGTACCATCCCAATAGCTACCCTTATAGGGCTATAGGACCAGTGAAATTTTTATGGAAGGCAGAGAATGAAGAGGCACAAATGAAGCCACCTGGTGACCATATGAGACAGTTATGGATTTGGGTTCATCCTTCTTGTTATGATGAGCTTGTAACAGAACTTGCAGCTGTATTTGTATTGGAGAAGAAAAGCCTTCTTCCTATTAAAAATTCTAGTTTGAAGGATGAGCTCAGTGCAACTAGACATGAATTTGATCATTCTTTGCTGGTAGAAGAAGATAAAGGAACATTTGAACAAGCTAAACCTCAAGATTTAAAGAAGAATGGGGGAAAAAAAGTTCTGGAACAAATTCAAGGTAGCTCGTATGGATCTCTCAAAAAGCCTGTTCTGATGACTAAAGAAAACAATTTATCCAACCAAATAGAAACACAGAATAAAAGTAAAATAAAATCTAAAATATCTAGAACCAAAGAAATAGATGAAAAGAAAACCAAGGATAAAAATTGTGACTTTAGGCAAAGATACTTTGAAAGAATTCAAATTTATAACAACAAAGATGTTACGATGGTGATACTAAAAGATACACTAGTTCGTTTCCGTCTTACAGGGCCATTGGCACAGGCAGTGATTACAGATGTACTTAAAGTTTCTGATGTAAAGTCTGATAAAAATGTCGAAGTTGATAATCACCAAGATATTGCTATGGAAACTGATGAAGTTCAAAGTATCAAATGGTGGCAAAAGTATTACTCGTATGAAAGTGCTAAACTCTGTTTAGAGAAACAAAAGCAAATTTGGGAGGAAATGAAAGGAGCTCAGTCATCAGGAGAATTACCAAGAAACATGGTCTTTGGACTAACTGTACAGGACCCAAGACTGGATCTTCCTAAAACCAGAACCAAAATTACGAATGACCCTGAAGGTAAGATTTTTTTCCTTAGTCACTTTATTGTATGTCAGCTTAACTCATCTTACCTACTATAGCTCTATTTACAGCAAATAATGATCAACAGTATATTAATACTTTAATTATAAACATTATTTTATAAAGTTGGAGATCAGTACAAAAAATGTATTGCTTGTCTACCTTCACTTACAGTTAACTAAGCATCAATCAAGCTTCCGTACTTTAATAACATTCATATTCTAAATTTAAAACTTTTTGTTGAATTAAAGGGTAATATTTTTTGTAATAACTTTTAAAAATACAAGGTGTAATGAAATATCAAATACCACTGCTAATTGTTACCATTGTGCTCTTAATTTGCAGAATGTAGATTTACAATAGGAGTATTGTATAAATTACTTTTCAAGTTCCATTTTTTTCTTCTGAAAACTGAAGCTAGTGAGGCCTTTTTGTTAGTACCAGAGTACAGCGGTCAGATTACAACCACCGAGATCTCGGGGAAAGCATTACATGTACATGTAGAAGTCATGCACAGAATATATATTTAAAGTATAGTTAATCATTTGCAGCAAAGGATTAGTGTTTCCTCACCTTTTCTTCTGTGCAAAGATTTTAATGCTTTGTTAGTTATACCATTATGTGAGAAATTGTTTATGTGGGCACGGATACAACACGTGTAGTCTTGAGCAGTAACTTAATTTATTTAATATAAAATAGGCTTGTGAACAGTGAAAGGAAAGAAATGAACACTAATCCTTAATTTTATTATTGCATGTGGATTTGTAACAATTATTACTAGAAATGCTAAATTTAGTGTATATTTTTTTTTTTTTTGCTTATAATAATAATAATGATAATGATTTTATGTCAGGTACTGTCTAAAGTGTTTTTGAAGCAACAAATTGTTTTTATTCACCAATCAGTGATCATTTCTGTAAAAGCCTAGTGGTGTAATGGTAACACACCCACCTTTTCTTGAGTGGGAGTCCTGGGTTCGATTCCCAGTTAGGCCTATTCCTCTTGCTTTGGTTATGATCAGCTGTTGTGAGATTGGTGTTATGCTTACTGTACTTTTTACATACAAATTAAGCATGATTATAAAATTATTAATTTTATGCTTATCTTAAAAATGTTTTATAGTTACACATTGTAGACATAATTATATGGATATTCACATTTAGTAATTACCTATGTGTAATAAATAAAATAGTGAAGTTGTGGCTGCTTTAACACAATGCAATATACACACTGAAGTTATGAAGTTAGATGGTTTTTTTTTATTCTATTATAGTCTTCTTTGAGTAAACATGGGTAATGTTAAAATGAAATAGAAATATATTTCTGAAATTTATATATTATTATTAGGTTGTCAGGAAATTAATGTTGCTTTTTTTCTAGATGAAAAAGCCCGAAAAACGTATAAAATAAAACAAAACATTTATTAAATGAAAGTATCCATTCTTATCGTTGATGCTTTTCCATCTTACAT